TCATAACACAAAGTACCAAACGTCCTTTCAAGAGTGAACCAGAAGAAGGAGAAGACAATGCAGAAGAAGAAACTGCCCAGTAAAACCAAACAACAGCCAATAATTGCTTTGGCTGATTTGCAAAGTCCTAAACAAGATATGCAACTAACATAATCCATTCACTTTATAGTCATTTACATTTCATCTATGATTGTAGCATGACCATTAATCCATTCAGTTATCATTTATATTCCATCTGTGATTACTTCACGACCATACTCTGGAACATTATTCCACAAATAACTTAATTTTATGCTCTCCTTTGATAATTTTTTCAGGGAATAAAAATTAATAATTATACTGTGCATTCACATTAATTGTGCTGTAAACTGTTTAGCTGAGAAATATATCACAATACATCAAACATTATTTAAAATAAAAACGCAATGTATATAAAGCCATTTGCAGCATAACTGAGCAGTTACACCATTCATGTCTTTGCTGAGATACCAAAAACTGTGACATGCAAAGAATCTGTTGATAAATAAATTCAAAAGACTGGTAGATAATACTTAAAGTCAAAGAATTACAAAATAAACACCGAAACAGAAAACAAACGGTCCGAGAAAAAGAGGACATCCAAGGGAAACATTAGGAAAAACAATATTTAGAGAGGCTAAAAATGCTGGGCTGAACTCCATGTCAGAAATCGAGAGAGTTGCATGCAGTATCAAATGGGAGCCCTAGGCGATGTCCAACAGCTTACAAAGTTGATGATTACTTAAAAGTACCAGATCTACAGACAAAAATACTCATAGATCCGACCACTAACTCTTCATCATCATCATTCTGTGCTGCTGGTCACACTGGGTTAGCTGTTTCTTCCTCCGCTTCACTTTATCCTGTGCAACAATTTCAATACCATGGATGGAATATAGTCCAGCACCTAAGTTCATCTCAGGGTTTCTTTTCAGAGTTCCCGTTTCCTCAAATCTATTTGTTTCCCATTTAAGCGCTGGTAATTCTCTGTTCATTTCTCTTCAGGATGTGAATAACATTACCACATTCTTTGGCTTACAATGCTAAAACTTAAATAACCATTAATATCCCCTAAGGACATGAACAAATATCTAGGTAGGACTAAAAACTGAGACCCCAAAGCCTACTAAACAAATTAAAAAAAACAAAAAAACAGGACGATTACTAAACTGTAGACCAACCAACGTTCATGCTGGTGAACAGATGAGAATACTGTTTAAACCTTAAAAATGCCCAGGGTCAGATCTTGAAGAGACTGCATGAGCTATAACAAAACGGCCCTTCCCCCCCCCCCCCTTTTCCAACCCTAAAAAAAAAAACGAAGTTACAAATTGGTTACGATTAATAAGACTTTCGAAACTTTAAAAACTGGGGGGGGGGGGGGGGGGGGGGGCCTTCAAGTCTGAAATATAAGAGGTTATCGGTGACATTTATTTAATTATCCTTAAATTCATAAATATGAATAAAGCTTCTAATGTTTCACACTGCTTTTATACCATTGGTCAAGGACAACCATTCTCCATTGTCTTTAAAACCCTAAAACAAAGTATAGTGGAACCTCAGGATGTTAATTTAATCTGTACCATGACTGAGCTCGCATGATGAATAACTCTTATCCTCAAACAATTTTTCCTATTAAAATGAGTGTAAATACTTTTAATTCATTCTGGCGCTGTAAAAATCACTACATTAATTTCAAAATGATGTTTCTTGTTTCACTGGTCGAGAAAATTTGCGGCAAAGCCTTTTTTTTGTTTTTGCTGGCAGCAGAAAAAAAACTGTAGCCATGACGGTCCAACATCATTAAGTGCTGTGCCCTCCTTCAGCAATATTAATGTGACCTAATCCATTTAAAAGTTATCAAGATGCCGCTGGGTAATGCTGAGAGTTCTCGTCTCTCCAGCTCCCTTTCTGATTTCGCCTCAAATTCTGGGGCAAAGAAATAGCAACCCTAATCGTTTTTCCTGAAAAACTCGTATCCTGGGGAAACACTGTAATTATCTTTTTCTTTGTTCACCGGCTGTAAACTTTGGCCGAAAGTTCTGGTTGTTCGTCCACTTCTGGACTGCAGTCCTCTTCCAGAACCTGAGTGTGGCGCATGCATCCGTTTCACAGATCTGACTCATTTGTATGCAGACGGTTCCTTGCCTCTCAGGCAGATGCACTCTGACCGAAGGAAGCTCCCGATTAGTCAGATCTTACGACATGCGTGTGGGTAGGCAGTGGGTTTATTCTTGTTTTCCTTGTAATAGGGCCCCGGAACCCACACAGGAAACCGCAATTATAAAAGGTTGTCTCTTTCATGACTATCTAAAAATTTGACAAATTCTACAGAACAGGTTCACATTATAATCATATATTTTCATCATGTGTCATGCCAAGAAGTACAGGCTGTCATGTTTCAGCATCTCGCATAACCACCAGAATCACAGATCAGGTCAGTGTTCTTGTCTCACTCCCCCCCCCCCCCCAATCCATATGGCTAAACCATCCAGGTATTTATCTGATTGCTTTTCCCTTGCTCTTTTCCCACCAACTTTGCCAGTAGTCACCAAGTCCATTTCTTCTCATATATCTGAAAAAGTCTTCTTCTTCTTCGTCGTGTTCACCAGCTGTAAACTGTGGCGGAAAAGTTCTGACTGTTCACCCACATCTGGACTTTAGTCTTGTACCAAAACCTGAGTATTGCTGGCACACCTGTTTTACAGATCGAACTTATCTGTATGCAGACTGTTGATTCCTTGCCTCTCAGGCAGATGGACTCTGATTTCGAAGTAAGCCCCCAATTAGTAGACTCCTACAATTTGCTTTTTGAGGAGGCAGCAGGTCTATCCTTGTCTTTCCCACAAAGTGGCCGGCCCAAGAACCCATACAGGAGTCTTAAAAAACACAAATTTACTGTCTGTTTTATTTTCACATGTATTACAGTGAAGACCTTTATAGTATTAAACTGACATTACTGTCAAATGTAAATAAATTACTTTATTCGAGTACAGCTAAATGAAATATTTTCTCTCTATTTTCGTTATACAATATTAGCTTGATTAACTAATAACACTTTTACATGAGGGACATTTAAGGGTCGTGGCACAAACCAGAAGTGCAGAGTTTTGTGCTTCTCCATGTCAAGAAAGGTTTAAGGGCAAACATAGAAAAAGGCAGAAGAAAAAGGGAACAATATATCCTAAACCAGGAAATAGGATATATAAGCAGAGAAAGGAAATAAGTAGAGATTTTGGCTGAAGACATTTTCTTTATATGCCTTTTGTTTTTTTTAAAGAAGTAAATGATATGGAAAAAATAATGCAATTAAAAAGAATCATATAGTTATTTACAAATCTCATGGGCAATTTTATAAATATATATTTACGACAAATTGACAAGAATACAGACCACTTTCAATATAATTTAAGTCAACATACTTTACAGAAAAGGGTGCTTTATTAATCTTACCCCAAACATGGGAAATTCACAAGTCACAGGACAGTCTAATATTTCAGTGGGTGGTAGATAGGCTGCATGCAGTCATGGGACCTAGGCTGCACTCTCTTGTGGGACGTAGGTGGGTTGGGGTTAGGGCTAGTTCTAGATGTTTTGGGGTCATTAAAACATAAAAAAACTGAGAAACCCAATCTTACCACCCTTTAAAATGTTGGACTGTCCTGTGGCACCCTTTGGGGTAGGATATTTATAAAGCACCCAGGAAAGTCATACAATTTTGTCAGTGGCACAAATACAATTACTGTCATAAATGAAAGAATTATTTCCAACATACTATAATAACAACACCCTAATTTGTAAGAGCATTTTTATTCACAGAGGAATTATTTCAATTGTCATTCTACAAAGGTAAATAAGACTTTCTGTTTTGATACACTATCTCTCCTCACAATCTCCAGCAAATCCTAAACAAAACATGCTTTGCCTGATTTTTAAACTTTATAGACATGTCAGTCTTACAGACTACAAATTCCAACAGATGTTAAGCCTCCTTATTAAATGTAACATTTACCTCAGGAAAATGATGTTCCGTGTTCTACAATATAATCTATAGTGAGATGCTTCAAGACTCCTTTTTAAATGTAACATTTACCTCAGTAGAACTGAAATGTAAAATGATGATCCGTGTTGTGTGTTCTACATTATATTCTATAGTGAGATGCTTCAAGACTTCTTATTAAATGTAACATTTACCTTAGTAGAACTGAGATGGAAAATGATGATCCGTGCTGTGTGTTCTACATTATATTCTATAGTGAGATGCTTCAAGACTTCTTATTAAATGTAACATTTACCTTAGTAGAACTGAGATGGAAAATGATGATCCGTGTCGTGTGTTCTACAATATATTCTATAAGGAGATGCTCCAAGTCTCCTTATTAAATGTAACATTTACCTCAGAAGAACTGAGATGGAAAATGAGGATCTGTGTTGTGTGTTCTACAATATAATCTATAGTGAGATGCTCCACAGAGGAAACAATACAATAATCCACAGAGGTAAATAGCACTTGATATTTTTTTTCTGTTTCAATACGTCACCTTTCCTTACAATTCCTGTTGCCCTGAAAGATTTTTTTAAAGCCTGGGTTTTGAACTTCGTAGACATTTCAATCTTTCAGATTACAAATTTCCACAGATGTTATGATTCCTATTTAACTCCAACATTTACCTCAGTAGAAATGAGATGGAAAATGGTGTCCGGTGTCATACAGTGCCTTCTCCAGCGGGTAGCTGCTGCAGACGCACACCCTCATATTCTGACGACACACTGCTGGTGACATTCTCAGACACACTGCTGGTGACATTCTCAGACACACTGCTGGTGACATTCTCAGACACACTGCTGGTGACATTCTCAGACACACTGCTGGTGACATTCTCAGACAGTTCAATGCTCTCAGGCTCCGCGGGGATGTTTTCTGTGTTGTCCACTGTCACCATATCATTTCCATCTTGAACTAATTCCTCTGTGGCCGCTAGTCAATTGACTGCAAGTTCAATGTTTATAAACTGTTTAAGTCGCTCAAGATACTGTCCGTAGAGTTCTACGTCATTGTGGCCAGCACCTTCCACCCACAGAGGCTCAACTGTGCGAGGACAGCGTTCATATATTGTAAGACCATGGGAAAAGTCAATGACTTCGTCTTCTGTTCCATGGATCACCAGAACTGGAGATGTAATTTTCGGTACTTTGTCTATGCTGAAATTTAAAATAAAACAATCAATTATGAAAATGCCATTACATTAATTATTTTAGAATATATACTTTAAACAGTATAGAAAATCTGAGAGGAAAGCTTTTTTAATTTAAAACTAAGAATACCGCAACTACCCCCCCATCCCAAATTGGTGCCCAAAAGGCTTACAAACAGTGACTCAAATACCAACTTTTCAGATGTGAATCACCTTCCCGCTGATAGCTTAGCTCCAGCGGCAATCTCCAGGAGATCCGCGTAAAAACTACACTGAATAACTCAGTGATGGGTCTGTGAAACAACTCCACAAGCTTCAGAGCATGAGGTCAATGGCTTGACCATCCTGCCTCTTTCTGATATGAAATTCCAAGCATTGCAGACCCTGCTGATTTCTGAGCCTGGAAGGGAAAGGATAGCTGATAGCTCTGTAATACAGTCCCCTTGGAAATGGTATTTCATTACCTGGTTGGGTCTTTCTGACTGATGCTATGTCAGTTCTACAAGCAATTGTTAACCCAAAAGACACTCAGTTTGTATACTTGACGCAACAGCTGATTTACTTAAGCTCTTCAGTAGAACAATTTGTACTGCAGTGGATTCCAGGTCACTGTGGCTTGGAAGGCAATGAAATTGCGGACAGATTGGCCAGAAGCAGCAGTGACATGGTACAACCAAATAGTGACTTAACCCACCAAGAGATGAAAACACTAATACAATCAAGTATCCAAGAAAGGTGGCTAGATACCCACACAATATTTTCTCCCCAAGACTCACTTATGGCCTCTCAAGAGAGGGACAGTGTATTATATTCAGACTAAGGACTGGGCACAACAGATTTCATCAACATATATTCAAATTTTTCGGTGTAGGAAATACGGAGACGTGTCCCTGTAGCGAGGCACCCGAGTTTTACCAAATGAAGCTATGCGGCTGATCCTGGGTTATACAAGAGACACCCCAATTGTGTGCATGTGATACATCCTTGCATTGCTGATTATTGCAGTAAGGCTAAAGGTGCTGCAGGCTAAGTCATACCTCAGAGTAGCTGCAGACAGGAAACACCCTTTGTATGAAGCTTTAGCTGCAGGTAAGGGTCAGAGGTTGAAAAAGGGAAAATCGTGGATGGCTCAAGCAGAAGACACAATAAGACAAGTAAGCATGCTTGAGAACATTGGGCGAGGAGTGGGTCAAAGAACCAGCGGAAAAGTCTAACTTGTGTAGGGTTATGATCACATTTAGCCGGGTGTGCAGAGAGTGGCCAGCGGGTGTTATGTAGGTTGAAGTCCACCAGTTGGTTCATGACAAATCACGCTCAGGTGATCTGATTATCTATACAGATGGTTCGGTGTTGATAGGAAAGAGAAATGCCTGGGGATTCGCAGCGAAACCCAAAGGAAAATCTTAAGTGCAAGACAGCCTAGCACATGACACCACAACATCTAGCATGAGAAAGGATGTGGGGGTGGTAACTGCAGCTCTCTGGTGGCTAGAGAACAAGATGCAAATATATGTCATAATTGTAACAGACTCTAAAAGCATGCTTGTGAAAGGTGAAGACAGAGATGCCGCGAGCAGAGTGGCAAGCTTCACTAGAAAGGTCACGGGTAGTGAGCATACTTCGGATCTTTTTTCAGGCAATGCCGGCGTGGAAGATAATGAACAGGCAGACAGACTGGCTATAACTGCACCACTGGGTGGTGAATTGATACATGACAAGACAGATGTGGTCTAGGCCCTTTGGGAAAACAAATGAATCAGTAGAGAAAGAAGATTAATATGGCCTGGAGAGAATGAGGAACCTGGGTGTAACCAGAGGGTCTGTCCAGCTCACTACACTCAGAGGAAAGGCAAGACGGACATGTAACCAGATTGTGACCAGTACCATCCATATTGGGATTCTGTGCTGGCTGCTGAAGATGAGGATGGAGCATGCATGGGAATGCCCCAAGTGATATGATGTCAATTCTTGACTTAACTCAACAGAAAAACTAGCTGAAAATTCAACACTTGTAAATATGTCTACAAAGGACAATATGTGAGTTGCCTGAAAGCCTATGTTCTATTCACAGACATCCAGCCATTCCAGCGACAGAGTCTGCAAGCCTCTTGAGAATCGCTTTATTTATACTCTGGAGACTTTTAACAGCCTCCGGACTGAATGGCCAACACAGTTTCATTTAAACTCCAAGGGGATTGAACTGCCCTCAGTTTTATCTCCAACCCCCTAGTTATGGCCCCTGGTAAAAAAACCAGGGGGTATTTATTCCCCCAGCCGACACGTGTAGTCATTCTGCTGAGAAACAACCGACCCGGCTGCTTCGAGATACCAGCTGAGTGATTTTGTGTATCTGTGTGGTATTGTTTCATTTGTACGTGCTCATAAAGGCTCAATAGTCGCAACGTTCACGTTTTGTTTGTATTTGTTATATTGGGAAGCTTGCTAATATACTCTTCATTCGGTTTTATATCTTTTCTTGATATTCACAGACATCAGTAAAGTAAAGGCCCCTTTTCCATGCCTTTAGTGTTTTGGGCTTATAAGGCTAGACCTATACTTTAAAGACCAATCGGCAGTCAGCAGGTGATGTGGTCAACATCATGTCTTCTGCTTTTACTTCCAGGACTGTACCTAGTACCAATTTTAGGCTGGGTTGACCTGGGAGCCAAGTAAAATTTTTTTTTTTAAATCCGGCTCTCTGGACCTGAATCCACAACCTACCGATCTGCAGGCGAGAGTCTGCCGCTACATCATGGCTGGCAGCTCCCTCACAGATAAAAGCTGACTGAACATGGAAAGGGTTGCTGAATTTGCATCCTATGATGATTGTATGCTAGCTAAGTCATTAACTTACTTCTATTATTAAACTGAGAACAATTTAGTTTCTTTGCTTGAATAATAATTGTATCCCACCTACCCTGGACATACTTGTCTGCCAACTCAGGGTTTATAGCCTGCTAGGGCAGATTTTGAAAACTGACCCTGCCTAGAAGGTCAACCCAGCCTAAAATGGATACCAGGATAATGGGCTAATGTCCTGGGATGTAAAGGTGACTGCCATGATACTGACCACAGTTCTTAATGGTCTATTATAATTTTTTTTACAAAAATCAGTGTTAGCACTGCATAAGCATGGAAATAATTTTTGGAACTTCTTTAAGTTCTTTATTTACTCACCTCGGAAATGCATCAAAAAACCAAGTCCTCTTTGTTTCTGGGAAGGCAACCCGCATTCCTGACATCAGGGGTGAATGAAGAATAACAGCCCCTACTTCATATCTGGCGGCAAGGTCTATTGTAGGCACTGTACCTATACTCTGGCCATATAAGATAATGTTCTGAGGGCTAATTCCGTACCTTGTCCTTAAAGCCTGCCAAGCTGCGTCAATGTCTGCATAGATATTCTTCTCTGATGGCTTCCCTCCACTGGCCCCATAACCTGAATAGTCAAAGCTGAATATGTTACAATTTATTCTGGAACCTAAACCTATATAGAAGCTGCTCATCTGACCCAAATCAACGGCATTTCCATGACTGAACAATATTGTAAATTTAGCAGTAGGGGTACATCTGGCAAACATGCACACAATTCTGTTATTCTTACTCGTCCGTGAATAGAACACTTCAATATTGTCCAGCTCTCTTTGACTGTACTGCCATTCGGCTTTATCATTGAGGTGTAAATTGTACCGAGATCCTGCCTCGTCTGATATAAGATCATATGTCTTTTCTGGAGGCAAGAATGCAAGTTTAGCAGCGATTCGAGATGGACAGGGAGGGCAGCAAAAAAGGCAACACAATTCACTGAACGACAAACCGTTCATTCTTCTGGCAGTTCTAGCGTGGGATGCACGCAAAGCCGTTATAAAATACTTGCTATGTAGTTACGTACAAAGCACACCCATTAATATGCTATTAAACCGCCTAGCCGCTTGCAGAACTAAGTGAACAATCGTGTTTATCCCTTGAGTTTTAAGTTAGCACTTCCTTCTTCTCTTCTGCCCTCTTACGCCATTAAATGACGTCACACTAGGAATGATACATGCAGTTTGGGGAAATCTACACATTGCGTGAATAATAAAATTTTATGTTTCTCTTACATTTAAAATATTTAATGCTGTTATTGTGGTGAATGTCGTATTTTTTTTTAATTTGTATCATTAATAATTCACCAAAATTATTAAATATGTAATAAATCAGCATCAAAAACATCTCAGAGTTTAAATTTCAATGACAATCTGGCATGCAAAAACGAGTTCGATCTACTACCTCTTTTTCTTCTTTTCCTCCAGCAGCTTCCTCACTTGAAAAAGGGAGGTGTGTGAATGTAAAGATTTTCTATGTGCACATCCTAGTGAACTGCACAAAATTGATTTTCTTTGATTAAAGTCTATCTTCGACGCTGTCGTTCCATGTATGGCATGGTCTAAATAAGTGCTTCCCAAACACTGGGGGGGGGGGGGCAGGGTCCCCTTTTTGCATGTCGAAAATCATACACAATCAACAGAATCTTGGATCGGGTGGTGCTCTTGTCCCGCCTCATGCATGTAGCCAAATCGTCAAGATATTTACCTCTTTGCTTTATCCTACGCCTCTTTCCGTGTAACTGATTCAGAAAGCATGCTGAGAAAGATCAGGACAGGCATGCTTCGTGCAGAATGGCATGCTTCGCTGCGGAAGACACGGGTGAGGAGTATTGTCTTGATTTTTTCACCGGGTTACGCCAGTGTGTTGGGAAATGAACAGGCGGACAGACTGGCTGGCTCTGCACAACTTGGTGGAATACTGATACATGATACGGCAGACGTGGTTAGCGCCTTGTAGGAGAGCGTGTACAGTTCGGAAGAGCAGATGGATCACAACAGTCTGGTGAGATTGATGCAGGGGGAGTGATGAGAGGTTCTGGCAGATACTCGAGGCTCAAAGGAAAGGCAAGACGGACGTTTAATCAGAATGCTACTGGCACCATTAGTATCGAAACTCTTCTCTGGCTGCTGAAGATGGGGACGGAGAGTTTATGGGAATGCCCCGAGTCCTGTGATGTCGGTTCTTGAATCAAATCCATCCTCTTTCTGCCAGAATTGCCAGTTGTCACCAAGTTTTCGAGTCTAATCCTTGCACTGAAATTTGCTACTGTAATCGAACAAACAGAATGATATAATAGTAGTTTTGTTTTGTATCGTCTTCCTTTCCTTAATTTTACCTTTATGAATGTGACAGTCTTTTATTCAATTAAACTGGAGTATTGGGAGTCTGCTCGGTTCAGATGAGGTTTGCTGCCTCTGTTACGAACGAACGAAAGAACTTTATTTTCAAAGGGTCACAAATTGGGCACGCAGGCCCGTCTTACATTCAGCCCTTCCAAACACCCGTCTTTCACAGTGCAGCTGTATTTTATCAATAAGCATGTTATATTCATATGATAATATGCATTTTAAGAATATAAAAAAGAGAGAGAGAAAAAAAAAGAAAAAAGCACAAAAGCATGGGTGGCAAAATGCATGTACACACACACACACACACCCAGCCACTTACTTAAACACACCCACATACCTTCACACACACACTAACACAACCCATTCACCCACATACATACCTACATACCCACACAGACACGCACATTCCACACACATACAAACATACAGATATACACACACAGACACACCCATAGAAACAAATGCAGACACACACAAACAGACATACGCACACATACCCAATCACACACATGCGACTCACACACACACAAACCGGCATACACACACAGGCAGACACAAATGCGCAAACACACGCAGACACAAACACACACAGATACACTCGAAGATACACAAACACACACACAATCACAAACACACACGCGCTGATGCTCACGCAGACACATACACACAACCACAGACACACACATGCAGAAGCATACGCAGGCATTCATACATACAGGCGCACGCAGATACACACCTACAGACACGTAAATGCAAACACATACGCAGACATACATATATACAGGCACACACACAGACACACATACACACACATGTAGACACATCCAGAGACACTACACACAGAGATACACACATAGAGACATATACGGATATATACAAACAGAGACGCACATTTACCCAGGCATTCACGCAGACGCACATACACACACAGGCACATACAAAGTCGCAAACACAACAAAAACACACACATACAAACACACACGCAGGCAAACCCACAGCTACATTCACGTAGAACACACATACAAGCAAACACTCGAACAGAGACATGTAGACACAGATACACACACAGACACATACACACAGTCCTGCAAACATACACACAAACAAACACACACAGACACACATACATAGATACACACCCACAGAGACACACTGAAGGAGTTACAAGCTTTCCATGCCAATATTAAGTGCGTTTCTGTGTTGCAGTTAGTATGTGTAATGTATATTCGCTCAATTCTTTTTTGTGTGGCTTGTTTACCAGAAGCGTCGGTGAACATAAGTGTACAAATATTGGAAGGACACTGATTTTCGAACATACGAAGTGAAAAAGCTCTCTGTTTAAGCTCGTTTATTTATTATTATTTTTAAAATAATTTCTTGGACTTCCAGAGCTGTACTGGATAAGAATAGAGTTAATCCTGAGTTCTGAGTGAGAGCTTCACACACCGATATGTCAAATATTTGCATGTTTTGTGTAAAAGAGAAATGATTTATAATTTTTCTTGATAGCTGTTTGGTTTTTCTTAACGTTTATGAATCAGCAAATGGTTTGAAAGCCTCTTGAATTTTCACACACAAAAAGTAAGCGTTTTATGGAGTCTATGGAGGTGCTTCTTGTTGCTCCATATGTTATTCGTTTCATCCAGGTTTTGTTCTCATTACTGCCAGTCTGTATGTGCCTTTTGATTTGGTTGGATTTTCTTTCGAGCTTGCGGCCCCCTCCCCCTTCCAAAGTAGGCAGATCCATAATGCGGTTGATTTTCTAACATTATGAATATGATTTCTTTTTGTGGAAGAGAGAAAATATACTGTTCTAATGAGTCTTTTGTGTGTGTGTGTGTGTGTGTGTTAAGATATTTAACTGAGCTTCCGAATGACAGTAGTACTGTTTCTTGTATCACATAATGTTGGACGGCCTACCCAAATCTGCCATTCCACATTGTCAACTATTTCGAACAAAGAAGGGAAACAACATTACTTATGTTAGGACAAGAAAAGGTGGTTCTTTATTAATATCATATCTAACACCCCCTGAAATATTAGACTGTCCCGCGACCCCTGGATTACCCAACATGTAGTTGAATTTTAATAAAGCACCGAAAATGCCATCGGAAAATATTTATAGCAGGACAGACCAGACCATAGCCTTTTGGCAGCTAGTAAATGATGGAAACTCCAACATGCGGTCAGACAAAGCATTGCTCTTTTGATCCAGCAGCTTCTGGAGGTGTTTTATTCCAAACATACTGGTGCAACTTTTGCAGGCCAAAAGAGGAATCATCCCGCATGGGTAACAATACCTAATTTTTATGCTCTGGAGAAGACGAATTTCATCCCTGGTTTTAACTGGAATTGGCTGTGATCCACAAGTTTGTCCATAATACAATACAACACTACAGCCTGGAAAGAAAATGTAAATTAAGTGTTACATCCCAACTCTGTGTCTAGTTCTCTACTTTCTCCACGCTTACTTGAAGCGGACGGACACCAGGGGGAAAGAGAAAACAGGGGCGCCAAAAAACAACATGGAGACGAACGATGGAAAGTGACCTGAGTGTGGCATCTTTGACATGGAAAACTGCACTGAAGATTGCACAGGACAGGAAAGCATGGAAAGTCCTCTCTGAAGCCTCATGTGCCACTAGGCACAACAAGAACTGATGACTGATGATTTGAAGCGGACAGGAGGCTGTTATGTTGTTTTCAGTGACTTCTAAACAGCAACGTCATCGATGTGCATTGGTTCTATATAACTCTCGTTCAGGTAGGCTGTTGGAGACATGCTTGGTATATTTAGTAATCTCAGTTACGTAAATCCCGGACTTTGCTCTGTTACGTTGCTCTGAGAGACTCCATACCTGTTTTACCGTGTCGAAGTATGGGAACATTCAAACAAAACTAAAGAATAACATATTGGGAAGGATAAATCTGATAGGTTTTAACATAATATCTTTGTTTATTTTGAAAATTAAGAAATCACTGTGATTTTAATCTGCTACACTACACTACACTGAGAAGGGCACGAACAGTTTATCAAAATGCTCTCTCTCTCTATACCGGTGTCTTGCCACCCCCCCCCCCCCACCCCCCCCCCCCCCCCCCCCCCCCCCCCCCCACACCCCCCCCCCCCCCACCCCCCCCCCCCCCCCCCCCCCCCCCCCCCCCCCACCCCCCCCCCCCCCCCCCCCCCCCGCTTTCAACGCTTCCCATAAGACTGTAGGGTTGCCGCATACTGGAGCTTTCCAGCGTCCCCAAAATTTGACCAAGACCGCTAACTCCCCCCCAAACGTACCACGTCTGTTGGTCTTAATCCTGCTGTAGCAGTAATAGCAGCAGCAGGCGCGGCGCAACAAAGGTAGCAGAAAAAAGGGGTGGGCTTAATCCCACTCAATAACTAATTTCCAAATTAAAATGTTGGGAGGTTGTGAGTCATTCTATTTTTATGTCTGAAATGTGTTTTATGTCAGAAACATTAAATATTCTATGGTAAACATTTCGGTGTTCTATATCATAACTTTTCAATGTTTTATGTCAGACATTCAATGTTCTATGTCAGAAACAATCTATATATATATATATATTTTATTATTGTTGACTATAATCTGTTTAGCGGTGTCCGTGGCTAAGGCGTTGCGCGTCAGACTCGTAATTCCAACGTACCGCGATTGAAACCCACTGCTGGCTGCGTAGATTTTTATCATGCTATGGGGCGCCGCAGGTCGACCCGGCCTAAAATGGGTACCAGGATGTATGTCCTGGAGAAGTAAATACGGCCGGCGTAATGCTGACTACATTACCCACCTAGTGCTGATTTATCTGTAAAAGTATGGGTGCTCTTTCCATATGCACCTAAAGACGTAAAAAGGGATCATTACTTTTTTCCTTATAATCTGTTTAACACAGTGAGCCATGGTAAAATAGTGACAAGCCTACTGGCCTGTTAGCCTTGTAGACATGTGTTCAAGTCCTTCTGAGTTCAAGATTTTAATCAACTGAACTGGGCTCCACGTCGCCCTAGCCTAATCTGGGTACTAAAGGAATGAACTGAATACCAAGAAATCTGTTGCGAATTAAACAATAACATTAACATTTTGGCAAAGATATAGCTGAAAACATATTTACTGTGTGTGTAAAAATGTTTATTAAAATTAACAAACACAAATATATACAAGACAATAAAACGCACATTCATGATCAATAAATAACTGAATGCAAATTCCAAACAGTACATTTAAGACAATTGTAAAAATGAAGTCCCATATTCGGTGATTTTGGATCAGATCTCAACAGGCGGACAAAAATTCTAAACAAAAATAGCAACACTGAACAAAATAAACCACAAAACAATGTTGTGCTTGTTGCTGACGTATTTGACAGCTTGTAGCCTGTCGTTACCTAGTAAATTGGTTCAGCCCGATGCCTCACACTCTGAAGTTTGTGATTTATGACTGTGTGGTTCGTGCAGTCAACACAAAATGAACAGGTTGGGATATTTATTTTTGCCTCTCACAAAAAAAAAATCTCCATTTCTTACTGAGAATCAAACCCAGGTCACCCGCATGAGAACCCAATGCCTTAATCACTCGGCCAGCCACTTCTCTTGCATCACACTTGACTTTAATCATGTAAAGACAGACCCATGACAGATACTGTCAGTGGAGTGTGAGGTGCTAGGTGGGTCATATATTCTGGGCAGCAGCAGAGCCAGGTCGCGAGCCCAGTTCCTTTCTACAAAGACACTCCTTTACAGAAAATAATCTGGTTCCAATCTGATGACACTAGGTGGTACTGGATGGAAATATGAACCCTGGAGATTCAACCATGACCACCATCTCAGCAAGCAAGCATCGGGATCACGGCTGATCATTCTTAAATACAGACAACCTAGTGTGGGTTCCTGGACCTCATCTGGGGAGGGGGGGGGGGGGGGGGGGAGAGACAGCCACTGCACCTTAACAAGTATCTTATAAAGGGTGACTGATTGTTTGTTGAAAATCTGTGTTGGACCGAACAGTACAGATATTGCAGCCTAGCTGTGAACTGCAACAAAATGTGCCAACTAGCCTTTTTAACTGCAAATGCAGAAGAAGAAGATGGAAGAGACAATAAAGTTGTCAAACTAAATGAGATTTTCGGGACATACCAGCAGTATAGAAATTATTCTAACATAGGCAAATGCAAGGTAAAATATGCAGAAGAAGGCAGAAAAAGATGCATGTAGAGTTGGGAAATGTGAAACCTCGTCATTACACAGTTGTAAACCATAAGTGATCTGCCACCAGTGTGGACAGCTGATAAAAAACTGTCGCCGTCCACACGTAACTCTAAAGCTACAGCGCCCTTCCTTCATTTACCCCAGAGTGGTACCCATTTCCTAGAGGCTGGGTGAACCCTGGAAACCGCCCGGTTTCAAACACCGACCGCAGGCTGCAGTGAGTCACAGCTGGATTAGAAAGTGAGTCTCCTAGCACTTGCACTGATGCGGCCCCAAAAGATGTATTTAGAAAGCCTGAACAGCATGACAACAAAAAGTAGCATAATTAACATCAAATGCATAAAAATACCAGATAATGGAAGATTAGATAGCCGTGAGAGCCAGTGTCTGAACCAGAGTAACAAGGTAAGTAAAGGGCCAGTTTAAAGCCACTGGCACATCAGGCATGTCATGCTGGGCATAATTTTGTAAAGCCAACTGGCACTCAATGGCTAATCTGGTCAACGTCCCACTGGTCATATTTATTTTCTAGGACAGGTTCTGATAATCATTTTATGCTGGGTGGAACAGGAAGCCCTGGGTCAATATAGGGGGGAAAAAACAAATCATACTGAATATTTAAACATAAAACCTTATAGCTGGCAGGCAAGTTCCAGAATAGCCAACTAAAGAAGAAGAAAATGGCAACAGAAATACTCTAGCCAATGCCTTCTGCTAATTTAAAGACCATCTTCATCAAACACTTCTCCTGAGTATGTCTCTTAGGTATTTATAGGCAAACTTCCATTCTGTTCTGGCTGATCTAATAACGGGTGGCTCCCGCACAGTTTTCCTGTCTCACTGCTCCAATTGGTACACCCTGGGTATGCAAGTCTATTTAATGAAGAATCATCTTCCATGAAACTGAAAGCCTCACAGCATTTATGCTTTCTTAAAGCATTGATAATGCCTATGCCTATAGAGCCCTACTTCTTGCAGGCCAAGATATGAGCAGTCAGTTCACTGGTCTGGTCTTGTGTGAATGTCATACAGCACGTGGGGCAGACCAGCAGCTTGTGCACATTGATCAGGTGGTTTTTCATATGATGCTTGTGCTTGAACTTGAAATCACAGACACAACACACAAACTGCCTGCCCTTGTGGGCTTCCATGTGAAAACTCAACCCCCCTCGACTCTTAAAACCTTTACCGCAAATGGTGCAGCTGTAGGGGATAAACTGATTGGGGAAGTAAGAGTACTGGTTGTACATTGTTGGGACTTGGTAACTATTAGCCGGCCAGCTGCCTCCGTCACTACCCTTGTGATGGTCTGAAACAATAAGAGACAATGTAGTTTGAATATGTCTTCAAATTTTTAGTCCTAGTTTTAAAGTGCAAAAATACGTCCGCTGTATTTCCTTAAAATGACAAGGCGGTGTCTGTCAAAATGAAAAATATCAGAATCTGTGTGTAGATTTTGCTCTTGCAAACAGATGAATCATACAATAATTAATAAATATATTTTAGCTACAATTACAACATTGTTGGTTAGTGATACTTCTCTTTTGAAGAGCCAAGAACTAAGCATTTGTTTCCCTTTAAAAGGACAGTCAAGAAAAAACAGAATCACAATGGGGAAAAAAATTACAGAATAACTGTATGTAGATTGACTGACTGACTTTCTACCCCACCAGGACATCATACAAGCGATAAACACCCGATGATAACAATGTGTCACCATGTGGGTGAGGATCATCATTGAGAGGTCCCAGAAACTGCGTTCAGCCTTTAGGCCATATTTATGGCCAGGCTATATTGCGGCCTCTCACAAGAGCCAGAGTAGGGCTTCAAATAACGAAAAATTTCATCCCTAAAAAAGGACCAGAAGTGTTTCTAATAGCATGTAGATTTTGTTTTGCAAACAAACAGTCACAGACAACAAGTCATGTATTCTAGTTGTAAATTAAAACATAGATGATACTTTCTCTTAAAATTCTCTTAAATTAAACAACAGCCAAGGTGAAATAAAATGAAAGCAGACTATGTACCTGATTCCATATTTACTAAAGCTCAACAAATACAACCCAATGTCCTCATTTTTCTGCATCTCACAATGGAATAAATTTTACAACTGGAAAAAAGAAGAGTGTTTTAATGTAGTTTCTTCCACGTGTGGGTTGCAGGGGCTCATTGTACGGGTCAATAAAAAAATAACTCAGAATAACTCAAAACTCAGCCCATGCCTCTTTACCAGCATGTCATAAAAGGCAACTAATTTGCTGAAAAATGACGTTGGTCTAAATGCACAGATACTGCAGGCTAGCTAGGGATGAAGACAGAAGAAGAAGAATGTAGTTTCAAAATTAGGAAAGAAAAACAACAACCTCAAACACTGCTGCAAAAAAAAAAAAACTAAATTATTAATCAACATTAAACAGTTAGAGCAACTTTTTTTAATAAAAATGTTGCTGTGAACAGAAATTTAAAAAAAAAAAATTGAATCCCCATTTATATGTACACAATGTTACAAATTCTCAGTATCTCCTTACTTTGGTATTGCCATACAAATTTAGTTATGAAGACAAATCAGAACAAAAACTGACTACAGACTTCAGAGCAAATAATACATGGCATTTCAATCAAACACTTGCAAGCAATCAGTGTCAAAAATGTATATCTCAATTACTGCTCACTGTATTCCCATTTTGTTATCTATTCCGGAGCAACCTGTTATATTATCAGTATCGTATTATCAGTCCTTCAATGCAGTAGCCACAACAAGGTACCTCTAATGATTGTCGGAATTATTCTTTCTTTTCCCAATATCTGGGCCTCGGAACTCACACAGGGAAATTTAACTCACGCTGACCCAAATGTTTATTATTTAAAAAATCTGCCTGCCACTGAAAGAGTTTAAAATAATTTCTGGGGAAAAAAGAGAAGAGCTAGCTTTAAAAAACATCATGATGTTCTCATCAATGCAGACCTCCACACTGGCAGCAGCTTGTTTTGAGAATGATGATGAAGGTTGCAAAAGTCTACTCACAAAGTGATCTACTTGCAGCAGTAGAGCACATGCTGGTTGTAGTCTGCACCAAGCTTGAGAATACTGGAACAGTTTAAACACATGGCTACCTTATGGACAGTGTTAAGGTGTCTTTTGACCTTCCCCTTTTGTGTGAATCTGGATTCACAAATGGGGCAAGGGAATGTTTTCTTCTCGTGCACATGCTGTTTGTGATGGTACAGCCC